TATATATAAATAGAAGCTAACAATAATAGTAAATAAATAAATAAATGTCATATTATTTAAGAATAGAATATTATGGAGAAAAAAAATTTCATATTGTCTTAAATAATTTTTTCATACTTAAATAAAAAATATTTTTTGTATAGTGCCCCGTGCATCGCACGGGTATCAATACTAGTAATGAGTATATCATATTGTAGAAATTTTATGGTTTGTAAATATGAACGATATAAGTATAAACTATTTAACCTACATGTAAATCACTATACTGATAATTGTAGAAAATAATAGTGATTATGATCAACAATTAGATAAAAAATGTTTTGGTTATGCCATAAAAAGTAATAAACTATTTTTATTAAAAAATATTAATGCGTTAAAAAATAATTATTATTTTAAATAAGTAGTTTAAAAAATCTCAATAATTTTTTTTATATGTATAAACTTTCTTATATCCTTTGGTTATTATTAATTATTATGTAATTATAAAATATATAATTTAGTTAATTAATAAAAAATGTAACAGTTTCTTTTTACAGTTAATTGCATAGTTTTTAAACCCTGCCCAGGAATCGACCCGGGCAGGTCTCCGAGTCACCGGTTCAACCGTCGGGTTACTGGGTCAATTGTTGAACCGGATAATTAATTTAAAACTTTTAAAATTATATATATAGTATTTTTGACATATAAATATACATAAAAGTAGCAAAAATAAATGTTTTGTATAAAAAATTTGTACATTTAAGTGTTAATAATATTAAATCTCACAATAATATTTACTATGTCATTATATAAACATAGTTTTTATTTTTTATATAAAAAATATAAAAAAATAAAAAATTTATAGAGACCGGGTCAACTGGGTTGACCCGGCCAGGTCAATGACCCGGATCGACCGGGTCAAGGCCGGTTTGGCCGGGTTTTGACCGTTTGATCGGGTCCATTGTTACCCGGTCCAAATAACCCACCCGGACCGGTTTCGGCTCGGGGTCGGCCGGGTCCTAGGTCGACCCGCCGGGCCGGTCCGGGTTACAAAACAATGGTAGTTGAATAAAATGCGCTGATTTTATTTTTGCAATAAATTCTTTGTCAATAATTATATATATAGGAATATAAATATAATCATAACGGGTATGATATTTATATAAAATACATTAATTATTATTCTTATTATTATTATTATTATTATTATTATTATTATTATTATTATTATTATTATTATTATTATCATCATCATCATCATTAATTTTATTTAAATAAATGCATTTTTTAAAAAATTAAACATGTTCTTATGCAACAACAAATTGTCTTTTATGAGAACGATTGTTTTATTTTTATTTTCTATTTTTGTATTATACCCACAAGTTTTGGTAGAATAATTTGTTATCATTCTATTTAAAAAATATATAAAATAAAAGTTAGAATTATTAAATGAACGGATAAAACCGTAACAATTAATTTCAACATTAGTATGCTGACATATTAAGTACAAAAATCAAGCTACTATGTATATAAAAAAAAAGAGTGGAATATGCAAATTTTTTGATGTGATAATCCCTAATTATATATATAGATTGTTTTAAATTTTAATTAGTTTTTATTAGATGTCATAAAAGAAAATAAAAAGATGAAATAACATTTAAAAAGAATGAAACGTTACAATTTATAATAATAAATGTACAATAATAATCCATAATTGTAAAAGTAACGTTCATTATATATGGAAGGTTGTAGTATATTAGGTATAATTTATTAGGTAAAACTAAATAGATTTTATTTATGAGGTTTTATTTAATGATTAGCTAGCAATTATATATATATATAGATAACCATACACGTTTTACTTGTTTTTTTTTTCGACAACACATCTAATTTGTTCTTATACCATACAATTAAATTCAATTTTTTCTTTCAAATACTAAATTAGTTTTTCAGTTTTATTATAACTAAAATAACATATTTTTCCTTCTATCTTATTAAAAAAATGTTTGTTGGCGTCTGTTGTACATTGAAATAAACTCGATCTCACCAGCTGAGCTAAGCACTAGATGCTTTGACCATTAAAATGTATAAGGTTTTTGTAAAGAAATATTTTGTAATTTT